AAGACTGTATTTATTTGTAGAATTGTTTGCAAAACGGTTGCCATAGCTTTGGTTCCTTTTTTTAGTCTGCATTTTCCCTGCAGTGACTTTTCCAAAAACTGACCATAACAATGTCCACTAGCATTTGTTTGCATCATCCCTCTTCCTGTTGCTTACACCTTGTTCCAGTTCATGCCACCTTTTCTTCCCCATTTTAGTGGCCATTTTCCAATTCATCCTCACCAGTGAAATTTCTTCCTCTTGGTTTTGAAGGCACAGTCAGATAGAAAAGTATTGGTTCTTCTGTCTCCAGGAAGATGATGAAAAACCTTGCTTTACAAATTGCCAGTGCATCTGCTGTGACTGGGACCCATGTTGACTTTATTTTCCCTTGTAATCATATTGAGTGAGCTGAAGGAAAAAGAAGGGCATCAAGAGAGTATTAATAGATCCTTGTGGAGTGTGATAGATATTAAGGCCTGTAACTGTGCTGCAGAAAATCACTCATTTTCTTGCCTTTCAGTAAGAGTCTCTGGAAAAAGAAGCATTTTACATTATTTTGTTCCTAAGGATATAAAAATATATACATTCTAATTGCACTTTGGAGAAGGAAAATTAATAAAGACAACTGCGCCATTCCCCATTAGTGGAAATGCCTGCAGTTAACCTGCCTCAAGCACTTTCAATATCACTGAATCCCTTGGGTGGGATTTTCCAAAGTGCCAGCATTAGCTCAGCCCTGCTCCCATTAAAATCAATTACTGACTTCAGCCTGGGAGGAGAGTCCAGAGAGTCCCTGTGGTGTCCTGTATGTTGGAAGATGCTAATCTGTGTGTGTGTTGTTCCTTCCCTATTTTTATGTGCATGGCTGCACAGGTGCTCTGATACATTCACTGAGGGGCAAGGTTTGCCTCAGAGGACTTGAAAAGGAACCAGAAAATTAACTGTGCAGAATAAAGAGTAATGGAGGGTAGCAGAGATCATGGAGGCAAGAGGAGCTTCACATAAAATGAAATTTCATCAAGTGTGTACTGAAGTCAGCTAATTGCAGCCTCTATGCCCCAATTCATAGAGCAAAACCTTCCAGAACACGTTTTCAATATGATTTCACACAGTATATTTTCTGTCTACGGAATCCAATTGTCGTGGGCAGTCATCAAGGCAAAGAGTTTAGTAGAATTAAAAAAGGGATTTAAGAAGCTTTGTGAGCAAAGACAACATTTGCAGCTGTATGCACCAGATTACAACAATGCAGGGGACAAACAAGCTTCCTGCTTCAGCAGCATAAGCTGATTGCTTTGAGGGTCGAGAAGAAATGGCATTTTGGCATGTGTTAGCCATGCTGATTTATTGAGATGTGTGATGGGGTGGTTTGAGTCTTCATTAAAAGGACTGATAATGATAATGAATGCTAAAGGTAGATTACTTACTAGTCTGCAATGCTGACATTTCCATTAAATGAGTATCAATAGTAAGTCTGAAGTCTCCTCCCACGTAAGGGACTGATTTGGCATTGATGAGAGCAGGATTCAGACCTTGGCTATGAACAAGGCTTTCTTTCTGGCTCCAAGGAAGTAGCTTATTCTCTCATCACCTGAGAAAGACAATGACTGCTTCTCTAGTTCTTAGAGGTGGAATGAAGGGAAAGTGCATAAAGAAAAGAGTGGTTACATTTTCGTTCACAGACATTCTATGCTTTGGATTCAGAGCTGTCATTCCTCTGTAATTCAGGAGTACTTCAGTTGGAAATACTGAATAATAAGCCAATAATTTTTCTTATTTACACTGATTAAATGAGTCCAGAAAATGGTATTTTTATTCCAGTGTTTGTGCTGGAGCTCCTCTGAACCTTTTCCCCCTGCAAATAGCAGCAGCCTTCCCACCAAGCAGTAGCCCTGAGGAAGCTTAGTGGCCTTTACCTAGAACATGAGGAGTTTCTACAATGGATTATGTATCATGCTGGCTGGCTTGCAACCCCAGAAGCTCCTGTCCAAGTCTGCATTCCTATGACAGGCTACTGCTGTCATCATACCCTTCAAGACATCCTTGTTTATGAACAGTAGATAAGATCTGAGAGAAGACATTTTTAAGGGAAGTCTGGATGAACTAAATTATTGATGTTAATGGCTATGGGTGCTATGCCTGTTACTAAGAAATACTGTAATACTTTGTCAGAATTCCCATTTGGAAATGCCATTAAAGCTAGGGGAGCAGCAATAGATACAGTATAGATTGAGCAAGCTATTGATGAACAGGAAAGGCTATTTAAGGATTTTGTGCCTTGAGCCCCTGTAGCTGGGAAAAGAAATTCAAAAGAAGCAGGTGAAAAGAGTCAGACTGCTCTTCTCCTTGCTAGAGCTAGGTTCCATGATGGTATAGTTGCATGGACATTTGGATGTACCTACACATGCATACACATATAGTTTTGATTAAGAGTCTAGGTCAGACCCAGCAGGTCTTCACCAAAATACGAAATTTCTACTGCACAAGTCGTTGAGTTTTCTTAGGTCCAACCAAGCAATCAAGATGAGAGTTTTTTGTTAATTTTGAACTCTCATATTTCTAGCCCTTGTTTGGTGTGTCCTTTGTGGAAATTCTCCCAACTTTCTGATGATCCAGAAGCCTATGTAACCTTTGCTTATTTATGTTTTCTTATTCAGGATTATTTAAATACAGAAAATGAAACTTTTGAAGGATTCAAAATTAAGCTCAACTGCCAACAGTTCTTAGCTATAAGTAAAATTGAGATTGATAGGCAGCATTTGGGAGAAGAAAGAGTCAATAGCCATGGAATTATTGCCCTGATTAAAAAAATGATCCATTTTATCCTTTTTTATTTCAATGTATATCTGCATAAATTAAATCAACCTTTTAACCTTCTCAAAGTTTCACTTATTTTTTTAATTCATTACCTGTTAATTTCATTGGCAGATGTATGACTAAATTTCCTGTACTACTTTGAAAACCTTACCCAACATCTGCTGCAGGTATGCATTCTTTCCTTGGCCTGGGGGATGATTTTACATTAGTAACTTAGGTAGGTCTGCAGTTGGATAGTGGTTCTGTAGGATGCACACAGATCCAGTCTGGTCCTCAAGCTTCAAATGGTCTAGCTCTGATCTCTACCCTGCATTAAATCAACTCTGCTGTCTATTGTCTGCTCGGGTTCAGGGACAATTTAGCAAGTTTGATACAAGGGAGCAATATTTCCACATGCCAAAAGCAGTCTGCAGTAGTCAGCTGCAGCCTCCTTTTCCTTTTGAGAGCATTTCATAGCTGAGGATATGAAGCTTTGCACACTCCATGGCCGTGCAGTTCCTGAGCTGCAGTGGTGCAGAACGTGAGACTTGGCAGCGCCTCTGTTCTGGGTCAGCTGCCATAAGGAACCCGGCCGTGGCACGCCCAAGCTGCTCCTTGCATTGCCCGTGCACTCCCCGTGCTTCCTCTGGCCATCTCAAGCCTGCTTCTGGGGGAGGTGTTGTCATTCTAATCCCTTCAGGGTCACGAAGGATCAGTAGGAAAGTGTGGTGGGATTAATACAACCTCCAGACAAAGTTTAACCTGCTGATAACATCAGATTCATAGGCTCTGCCAGCTCACTCTCACTGCTGATATGCAGCAAGTGCAGAACAACACTGAAAACTTATCACTTTTATTAAATAATGTGATCCCAGACACCTCTTAATTGTGGAACTTCACAAACCATGAAGCAATGTATCAGTAGCAGTCTAGAATTTGGAACACTTGGATTAAAAATATTTTATTTGCAACTCCAAAAGACTATTGCAGTCTCTTGGTGATGAATGCATGTATTTTATTCCATATTGATAATTTATATCTCTCCGCATCCATAACCTTGATCTTAACTTGTCTGGGATGTTGTTAATTTGCAACATTTTATTATGTTGTCCAGAATTTTTAAGTGATTACATGTTAAGGTAAATTTAGATAGCAAAAGATTTTAGATCTTAGAATTAAATGGGTGAACTTTGTTTTTTCAAACTACTTAATTGTATGTACACATTAAAATAATTTTCTCCATGTACTAGCTTGTATTTTAAATAGATCTTCATGTTGCTGTTGACCTAGCTTGTAATCTCATTGTTAAATTAGTACTTACAGCAGTAGAACAAGCGTCATTTTGCATAAGTGTTCACATTTATGGAAAATACTGTACTTTCACTGACTGAAGTTTGTGCCTGTCAAATACTGACGGATAAAGGCTGATGTAAAACACGCCTGTGTTCTGTCACAATAGACAGCGGCGGTAGCACAGGGGAGAAGCGCGTTCCCGGCGCAAGGCAGCGTGCATGCTACCTCTCCGGCGCTGTAGCCTGGAGCCCCAAGGCAATGAACTGTATTTAAGCGAATCTCCCCTCCTACAGCACTACCTGCAGTTGCAAGCAATGTGTTTATCCCATTTTGTAAATAACTTTAAAAATTGTGATTTTTATCATGGTAAAGCTGTGGTAGGATGAGAAACGGGGGCAAACTCTCCGCCGGGCCAGAGCGTAGCCAAGGCGGCGCGGTCCGCGGCTGGCCCAGGGTCAGCGGAACACAAGAGCGAGGATTTCGGTAGGATTTGGTAATTTGCTGACAACAGACACCTTCGGTGATCGGAACAGGGAACGTCCCGCAGCTCCTTTACCGGCGGACGGAACCGCAGCCCCAAACTGCCTGGAGCGCGGGCAGCGCCCGCCGAGAGCGCGCCGGCCACCGCCCGGTGCGGGCGGACCCGCTCAGCGGGCAATGGCACCGCAGGGATCGATCGGCACCGCGGGGATCGATGGGCTCCGTGGGGATCGGTACCGCGGGGATCGATCGGCTCCACGCGCGCCAGCCGCCCCTCGTGCGCCCAACGGCCGCTCGCGCGCCCAACCGTCCCCCGCGTGCCCAACGGCCGCTCGCGCGCCCAACGGCCGCTCCGGCGCTGCGGGTCCGTCGCCGCCCCCCGTGGCTGGCGCCGGTCCCGGCAGGGCGGGGCGAGGCGCGGCCCGCGCGCCGGAAGTGAGCGGCGGGGGGAGCCCGGAGCGGTGGCGGTGCTGGGGCGGCAGCGGCGTGTGGGGAGCGGCGTCTCCGCTGCTGGGCAGGGACGCGCCTCGGCTGCCGGGCGGAGGCGGTTCCGCGCTCGGCGGAAACAAGGAACGGGAAAGGAAGGGAGCGGCGAAAGGAACCGGTATCGGCGGCCACCATTAGTGGAGGCAGGAGGAGCAGCAGCAGCAGCAGCCGCCGCCGCCGCCGAGGGGGTCTGCAGGCGGAGCGGACCCGGGTGCCGCCGCCGGCAGCGAGCAGGAGCGAACCCGGCGCCTCGCTCCTCTGTTCTGTGGGGCGTCGCCGCTGCCCGCCGGGGCTCCCCCGGAGCCGGGGCGAGGTGAGTGGCGGAGACGCCTTCGTTTCGCTCTTTTCTGGGGGCGGCGGTGGCAGAGCCGACGGGCGGCGTTTCCTGCCGCGTCCCCTCGGCCCCCGAGCCACGGCCGGCGCTGGGCGGGAGCCGCGGAGCGAAGGGTGCGGGAGGGGCGCGCGTTTACCGGCCCGCGCGTCTGCCCTGCGCCGCTCCACGCCCCAGGCACCATCGGGTGTGTTTGTCTGGAGAGGCTGTGGTGACTGGTGGAGGATTCTGGTATGTGTGTGCCCCCCGGGTTTTCCCCGAATGAGGCATGCTTCGGGAGAGGCTGGGCAGTCAGCCGGGGATGCGCGAGGGATGTAGTGTGTGGCATGCAGACAATGTCAGCTTGGGTGAGTCTCCACCCTGTGCAGCCGCAGGCAGCCGGGTCCCCGGCGCAGGCATCGCCGAGGCGCGCCGCCACCCGCGGAACAAAACGCGCAAATCCTCGTTCCTGCTGCAAGAAGGAATGGTGGGCTAAAAATCTAACGTCAAACCTGAAATCTGTTAAGCTTTTTAGCCGTACGACCTACTGAAGGCAGACTGGTTGGCAAAGAGCCTCCCAAGCAAGCTTGATGCCTGCGTTGGTGTTAATGAAACTGGGAGTGTGGTATATTATTTTTTCTGCCTGGGGATAGTCATTGATGGTGGAAGGGAAAGGAGGAGTGTCTGTATACACGAGTGTCACATGACCTTGTAAAATTCATATGGCTATACTTATTTTTCTTAAGAAGCCACTGACTTACCTGTTCATTTTGGAAGATTTTGTTTCTTTTGGATTTGTTATCTTGTAGGGCAGAAAATAATCACCTGCGTGTTTGAACACTGTCTCTGGATTTTATAATTTTTACTAGTATTTTATATTGTTACTGGGCTGGAGGTGTTTAGGAAGAGATGAACAGCGGTCTGTGTAGTACAATTTATTTTTTACTGGTAGATTACAGGTACACTCCATTTGGCAAATGTAAACTGTTTCATATGGCTAGTATCTTTACATTACCATTCATGTGAGGGGTGGATGTTTTGTGAGACTGTAGAATCACACCCACTCCATTTTGAACAAATTGTCTCTTTTTGTCTGTTCCGTCTAGTGCCCTTCAGACATGGATACGTTAGCTTGTTAAATACCTTATAGAAGAAGAATGAATTGATTAATTCTAGATGTTTATTGAAACATTATGTCTAGAACAACAAATCTTCCAGTTTTATTGTCTTTAATCAGCTTTTCTCTGCTGAGAAGTATCCTATTGAAACAGAGAAATGGTAAAATTACTTGATAAATCATCTTGAAGAACAAAAGTCTTGGTCATAATCGAGGGAATACTTTCCACATTTGATCTATAAAGATCTAAACACGTCCATATTTAATACACTAATATCATTCTTGGTGGGTGTGGTGGATAGTGGAACACAGAACTGGTTTTCTGCACCTAAGTTGGTATGTGATTTTTCATATCACTGGATGATATTCAAATTACTGTACAGAAATCTGTGTTATGGAAGATTTTTGCTTTCATACAACAGAAAGGTAAGTGGCACCAAGGAATTTATTTATTGTCCTCGTACAGTTTTCATTTTCAGATAGCTATTTCCTTAAAATGGCTTCATTTTTATGGTCAGATGATATGCAATGAGGCATCCTTCCACCACTGATTCTCTGACTCAGCATGTGGTGGCAGTGAGAAAAGTATTAGTAAGAGATAAACCACAGTTAAGGAAAGCAGTGCAGTGTACAGGCTATTAATTTCTTGAAAGAGTATGAAAAATGTGAAAGAGAACACTGACAAATTTTATATAATCTTCAATCTGCCTTCCTTGCATAGTATCTTGAGACTACTGCCTTCAGGTTTGAATTTAAAGTAGTTTTTTCACAGTGGAGTAGTGTATTGACATCAAGTGTTTGCAGCTTTCTGTGTGTTGGAGTCTGTTCCTTTCCTAGTGCAGTAAGCCTGGGTACAGAGAGCACCTGTTGGTTTAAAGTATTGTGTGGAACTGCTGCGATGCCCTGTGTAGGTCATGGTTCTCTCGGGTGGGTTTCAAGAGGCATTGCTTTTCAAAGGGATGTCTCAGAGTTCTGGCTATCACAATATGTGGGTATTGCCTTGTTTACCCCAAACCACAAATCTTCTTTAGTGTTGCTTCTTTATTTGAATTTGGTCCTTTGTCTTCAGCATTTAAGTTTTTCAATAGAATCAATTGGCTTTTCTAGCTAGAAACAGTTAATTCTTTTGTGCTTTACATTGTAGATCTTTATCCTGTGTTAGTCTCATCTTTACTGGTCATACTTGCCTTCCTTCTTCAAATGTTTTTCAGCCACTGGAGAGGGAAGTAAAAACCTATCAAACTGGGACAGAGTTAAATCTGAGTGACTAAGCCAGCTAGGTAAATACTAGGAAGAGTGGTACTGAAGATTTCAGCCATTAAGTAATTTACATCGCCTTCTTAATAGAAGAAGACTCCAAATCACTTGTGTTTCAAATGAAGCCAAAGGTTGCAAAATAATCACACTCTGCCTTTTCTGTTATGTTAAATAGTTTTATTATGGAATTTTCAGGTAGAACTGAAATAATGTACTTCATAACTTCCCATTAACATCTATTCACCCTGAGGATCCTGCTGATTAAATCTAGAACTTGTTAAAACGCTTACCAAAGCCAGAAATGTCCAATTTCTGTTTCTGGCCCCAACAATAATCCATTTTGCCATGTTTCACACTTTTTCTGTGCAATTGCTGGAAGAAAATTTGTTGGTTTACAGTGGAATCAGGCAATGTCAGATAAACAAGCCTTGTAAAAAGATGCAATCCAGATCTGTTTTATTGCTAAGAGTTAATAATACATTGAAATGACACCAGACTGCTGAGTAGTCAGGTTTTACCTGTTTCTATGTGGAGTGTTAATTTTGTTTCAAAAAATGTAAATTATGAAACAAAAGTTGACATATTGTGTAAGTCCTCTTAAGAATTCAAAAAGTACCTTTGATAATTGGCAGTCACAGATTTTGAGTGAGCACACACACAGAATGTTTTCTACCTTTAGGAATGTCTACTAGGTTAGGTAATGCCAATAAGGAAACTTGCACTATAATTGCCCTTTGTAGCTGTTCTTCAGATTAGCAAGGGATTTAAATTTCTCTTGTTAATCTCCCAAGTGTCCATTGAAAGAAAGTGTCCATTGAAAATGGTATATTAGTTTTTATATGTTAATACTAGAAGTTAGGAATAATTACCCAATTAAACAAATGAGTCCATGTGAGAAAGAACTGAAATTCAGTAATGATAGAAGTTCCTTCTAATCCTTCATATAGAAAAATTGTATAAAGACTAAGAAAAGTATCTGTAGAATATTTGTATGCAACTTGATCCAGATATATTGACTGATATTTTCTGACATTTTAGTGAATTAAAGTCTCTTCTCTGTTTTGTTCCAAGTAGGATTTTTAGTTATTTTCTATGTCCAGCTTTAGCAGAAGTGTTTTGTGTAAGATGTTAAATAGATTGATTGTTGAACTTCTTTTTTAAAATCCATCTGTTAGTGAAGAGCTCTTGAAATGTCTTGGTCTACAGGCTACCTCTGTACTTGTATTGTATGGAGGAAGATGGTGTACATAAGGATTTGAAATTGTCCTGACGTTAAATATTAGGAAAATAATTTGTTGCCATCCCATATCTTAATTAGTTGGATTTTTGGAGGTGTCAGGGGAGGGAGGCCTGCAGGTGGGGAAGGAATTCAAGGGATGGTACAAAAATAGTCACAGAACATAATTTTTACCCATTGCTGAATTTCGGGTCTCAAAAATCCATCAAAATAATTTTAACAAATGTTATTAAAAAGGTGGTTGAATCTTCCTTGCCTCTGATCTTTTCAGGACACCGGCGTGTAAGGTGAAAGTTCTTATACGGAAATATTATAGGGAGTCTGGTGAGGGAATTACTATCCACAGCAGTAAAACTCTTTTATCTACTTAAGCAAACATTATAGTATTCAAGAACTCGGGTTGCTGGTAAAATTGCACTGATCTTGCGTAGCACAAATCGTAAACTGCATGTAAATTGTTCTTACCTTCTGTGAAAATTATCTGACTTATCGTCCCTTATTGCAATGTTAACATTGTGTTGTTCTAATTATTGTATTTGACATCTGCTGAAGTGGTCATGTGCGGTGTGAGGGTACTGTCAAGTGTTTAGAATGCCAGGTTCTGTTCATATACAAACACCTCACTCTTTTCCACTGTTTATTACAACAAAATAGCTGATTTCTGCAAGATCAGGATTAGAAAGAAACAGGAGCAAGAAGTGACATCACTTTCCAGTTTTGTGACTGCTAAGTTTTATTACTTGTGTCAGTATTGGACTTTCATGTAGAAAAGTCTTGGAGAAGTACAGAACCTCCTGATCATTTTTCTCAAATGTAGATCTGATTTGAAAAATATGCTGTCTAAAACGCACATATGGAAAAAGGCTGGAGGGAAGCTCATTGGCATCCTTCACCCTCTCTGAAAACTTCATATTTCAGAAAGTTTCAGGAGCAGTTGTAGTGGCCTGGCAGAAACCTTTGTTCATAGTGAGAGCTGAAGTCCAGTGCCTGCTGCTGGCACAGGGTCCTTGGCTGCTGCTGGTGCTGTGATTGTCCCATCGTCCTTCCCTTTTCCCAGAGACTTAGCAGCAGTTCGCTGAGTTGGTAGGACTTGTGGTATTCCTGGTGTCTTTTTGTCCCGGTTACAGTAAATTTTAAAAGAGTGAAACTGTGCTGTGCTTACAGTCAAGATGTGCAGTAAGTTACTTCTTGTAGTTACTTTAATCATTGTCTTCTTGGCTCTTCCAGTAGGAAGGAACAGTTCACTCCCAAAGCTCCAAGTAGAGCTTGCTGCTTGATACATGGGTCGATTTCATCTCGATGTTCCCACTCTTCTGCTTTAAGAACAGCCATCTGTAGCACAGAAAAGGTAGTTTATTCTGTCATCATGGTCTTAGTGTGGGAACTTGGTTA